ACGCGTTCCCTTGCCCCTACGGAAACCAAATTGAGTATCTGAGAGTAGGTGGTTCGTCTCAACCCATTTGTCCAAGCGAACAGGGATCATTTTCTCCAACAATTTTCGAATGCACGATAACATCCCGATGGGACGATACGAGTTATGATCTGACGCGGGTTTTCCAGGCTTTTTAATGGCTATAACTCTCACTTGCCTCCAATAATCCAAAACAATATTGAGCTCTAGGAACTGACAAAACAAGTTCAACATGCGCCTCTTAGCGACGTCTGGGAGGTTCTTCAAGAAGTTGAACTTGATTCTATCAGCCGCCCCCGGAACCGAATTGCCACACGAAAGGAGCGCGAGTGAGAGCTCCAGCATTGAAAAAGGCTGGCTGATCACGTCTACCGAATTCGTCGTTTCGCGAGGAATCATCCGTGCCGGCACGGAATCAGGACATACTTTTCGCGCTAACTTGAGAATCCAACGATCTGAGTACTCCTCGCTCTCGTTGTTCGAAGACCGGTTACGCATCCTTCGCGCCGTGTTCCAAAGCGTATTCATCGACGTTTCGCGCGATAATCCGTTTTCGAATTGCCGCCAGTATCCGCGTTTCTTGGCTTTGATGAAGCTCTTGAGTTGGCGTTAAATAGCCTAGTGCGCTTCGAAATGCACGGGTGTTCCACGTTTCCGGAAAAGCTTAAACGCGTCAGACTTTTTACGATAAACCTCAGTGCATTGGTGGTCCCACCAAGGGGAAGGAGGTTTCCTACGGAAAGACGATCCAGGAACCGGCCGAGTTTGAGCTCGAAGCGCGCTATCCAAGATCAGATTGGAGAGGAAGTTATATTCCTCCAACGGTGGAAGCCCTTCTACTGACGACACGGCTTCCTCTATCGCGGTCTTGAATGTTGTCCAATCGATATTACGGGTGAGGTCGTACGCGACGTTAACGGATTCCGGACAATATCAAATAACACGCGATCCTGCCATGAAAGTTATCTGGCGGGATTTGCAAAAACAAATAAAAAAGTGATTCTCTGCCCTGAGGAACAAATTTTTGAAAATAATGTTTCTAAATTAGACCCGAGTAATATGAAAGCTCCAGGTGATGATGGAATTTTCTATATCCTCATCAAAAAACTCCCAGAGAGTACCTTGTCTTTCTTGGTAAAATTATTTAACAGATGTTTCAATTTGGCATACTTTCCTGATGTATGTATGTATGTATGTAAGTAGCCACCATCCTAGCTTGGGTCTTGCCCTGCATGCGGCTCCACTCAACAGCAAGATCAAATTCCGTCATCATTCTGAATTCAACATACTGCTGTATGAAGGGCCAAAAAGGGTTGGACGGGCACGTAAGCAGAGGCACTTACGCGAAACCCGCGGGAATAAGAGAATCTCCTTCCAACAATATGATCCAACAAAATGAATAACGAAATTCGCAATACATGTTAAGCTTTCCACGGGATGGGTTGTTTAAGAAGAGCGCGTCAAATTCATTGCAACTGTTGGAGTGGAATGTAACTATCTAAATTGACAGTACACATTCCCTCCTAGACTCCGGTTGGCACTCCACTCCATTGTCCAGTTACAACTTCAATGATGCCCTGATGCTCCCTCCCGTCCCAGTATTTATTGTAATTTACATTATGAATTTATATATAATCATGTAATATATAATGTAGGTATATAAAATATGTAGTAAAATGAAAAATATAATAAAAAATAAAGATGTATAACAAAATACAAATAACCTAGATTATTGGGTCCTATACACACACTTTTTGTTTTATGTGCCATGAAATGACATAATGCATCATTGTATGTTTTGAAAATATAATACTAAAGTATTGAATCAATAGACCGAAAATCGAGGTTATTTGGACATGAGACATTATATTTAAAAGGATACTACCAAACCGATCATCAAACGCACTGCCCACAAAAGCAGACACGTCCCCTCGAAAATGCAATCGAGAAATGTACAAGAACAATCCTCAACTGGAACGTACTCACCAAATCAATATATCCGGGAGCACATTCCCGATGTCGTCGAACGGCAAAAAAAAGGGAACTCATTGAGCAAATTTGTGATACGGAATTTTCACTGAAAATAACCACGAATTTCACCACATCCCACTGCGAAACACGTTCAGAAGCACTTTTGGTACACTTTAGATATCAATTTCTTTTGATTTTTTTTTATTTTTTGCTAAAATAGTTGCAAGTGTACCAACATCAACACCAATCGTGCCAAGCTTTACACGCACCTTGCAGTGCGTACATAAACTTTTTGGCATACTTTCCTGATAAATGAAAAAATGCAAAAGTTGTTGTTTTGAAGCCGGATAAAAATGCAGCAGACGCTTCTAGCTACCGTCCAATAAGTTTGCTTTCTTCAATAAGTAAACTTTTTGAAAATATAATTTTAAATAGAATGATGCTTCACATCAATACGAACTCATTTTTTGCAGATGAACAGATTGGATATCGCCAAGGGGCATTCAACTACTCATCAACTCTTAAGAGTTACCAATTTACTTCTTTCAAACAAATCTGAAGGCCACTCAACTGCAGTTGCTCTTATAGACATAGAAGAGTGTTTGGCATGATGGTTTTATTGCTAAATTGAAAAAGTTTAATTTTCCACTTTATATTATGAAATTAGTTCAAAATTATTTAACTGACAGAACTCTGCAGGTAAATTATCAAAATTCCAAATCTAATCGACTACCTGTTAGATCAGGAGTTCCTCAGGGTAGCATTCTTCAGCCAATATTGTATAACATTTTCACTTCGGACCTATATGATTTGCCTCAGGGTTGCCACAAATCTTTGTTCGCTGATGACACAGGCATTTCCGCTAAAGGAAGAAGTCTTCGTGTTATTTGCAGCAGACTGCAGAAAAGTTTAGATATTTCTCTTCTTATTTACAAAAATGGAAGATTTCTCCCAACGCTACCAAAACTCAACTTATAATATTTCCACATAAACCGTCCTTTTTGAAACCTAGTCACATAGTCATTATGAACGGAGTTCCAATTTCCTGGCCAAACCAAGTGAAATATCTTGGATTAATAATTGACCAAAAATTATCTTTTAAAGATCACATTGAGAGCATTCAAGCCAAATGTAACAAATATATAAAATGTTTGTATCCTCTTATAAACAGGAAATCCAAACTTTGCCTGACCAATAAACTTTTAATATTTAAACAAGTTTTTAGACCGGCCATGCTTTACGCTGTGCCAATATGGTCAATATGGTCACTACCAGGAAAAAAGCACTTCAAAGGATTCTGAAGAGTTCTGAAGATGATTTTGAAGTTGCCTCCCTGGTACCGAGGGATACAGGGAATCAAAATGAACGATTCAGATAAAGATAATGGCATTCTCATTTTGGTTACACTCATGATTAGTACAAATCCATAAATCACAATGGACAGTTCTGGAAACGATAATGCGATTATTATTTGTGTAACAGATCATGATCATATGAAATAGCGATAATCTCAGATCATCATCATCAGCTCTCGTTACTGAAAATTCCCCATTTAAGACAAGGCTTATCAAATACCCATTAATATGTGAATTTTCGGAATGAGGATAACGTATAGAGATCGAAAATCTATGTTTGCCGCCATTATGAAATCCAAGATGGTGGCCATCGATTTAAGAAAAACTGTCGTAAATTGATGTCCGCCACCATTTGGAAATGCAAGATTACCCTGCAATGTGGGTATTTTCGGAACAGGGATAGCATGCAGATGTAGAAAATTAATATCTGCCGCTATTTGGGAATCCAAGATGGCGGCTATTGATTTTAGAAACAACTTTTCCCTACAATGTGGGCATTTTTGAAAGCGGGATGACGTGTATATGTCTAAAATTGATGTCGGCCGCCATGTTGACTAGTGTATTCGTCAGTTCTATTTAAAACCAAAGGCCGCCAAATTGGATTCCAAAATGGCGGTTGACATCGATTTTCAACATCTACACATTATTCCAGTTCCAGAAATACCCATATTGTAGGGTATTTGACGATTTTTTTTCCGAAACCAATATGACGGATTTCAAAATGGCGACCTACATTGATTTTCAAAATATATTTGTCATCCCGATTCCAAAAATATTCGTATTGTAGGGTATTTGACCTCAATACTTTTCCGAAGACAGCAAGTTCCTAGATTTTGAGATACATTACAAAGTGATTGTTATCATATCAGTAGATTATCGTTTTTGTTGCTGATCATGATATGTAACACAAATGATAATCCATGATCTTACTGTACACTGATCATGATTCCGTTAACTAGTATTTTTATCGTCAGTAAGTATCGGAAGATAGCATTTTCTTGATTCCCTGGAGGGATATAGAATTTTCGAATGTTGAGACTTTTGAACAACAAAATAATTAATAATTTCAGGCAAAAATCGTTGCAATTCTCAATTCCTCAATCCTAATTTCCTTTATACTTAGATAAGATTTAGTTTTAGTTTTTAGTTTTAGGATTTCAATTGTTATACTGACCTTAAAACCTGTTTAAAATACTGAATTGCCAAGGCAGAAACAACGTAAAAACACTTAGATATATATCATAACAATTAAGGCTGGTAAGTTACTGTAGTAACTGGAGCACCTAGGTTAAAATGAAATGAGATTTATTTTGAATTTGGAACAAATAAAGAGTAAAAAAAAACAGATATTAAAACTGACGTACGAATGAGACATAGAAGACATAGACAAAGACAGACCAGCGATTACCGAACCATAAAGATTTTCAAGAAGATTATGATTAATCAAGATCGTGAATCCGGTGTTTAATTGGTCACCATACACTAATCCGTCCGACATCGTAGTCATTTTTTCTCATCAACCCCGATCACTGCAATCCTATTGGCCGACAAAACGCTGCAAAATGAAAGATGATAAATCATAAAAAAAAAAACAAATAAACAAATTAACAAACATACTTCTGCATATTAATTTATTCTACATTCTTTTTATCACAGCTTGCAGCTAATGAAAACCCGGATCAATCACGGATCACAGATCATCACCGAATCATTAGTGATAAAATAAAGCTGTGTTGCGAGACTGCCTTCAAAGGAATCTTACAATATTGTATGAAAACTTTACAAATTCAGTCTGAAAGCAGTTTGGTCGAATGCGGCGTTGATGATGAGGATATTTATTGTACAATTTTGTATAATGATGAAACTCATACTTTCGAACAGGTAAGATTAACGTTATAACCTTATTATTAGTTATTGATCATTATGGTAATTTATCATCAGGTGATTCAAACATTGACTTCGATCGTGAAGTGTACCCAAAAGGAAGCAATCGAGTACGTCACAAGTATTGATCGTGAGGGAAGAGCGGTTGTGAAATGTGCTCCATTTGAGATGTGCAAAAAGTTGAAAGAGGATGTTGAAAATAAGGTTATACGATCGACAATGACGACCAAAGCATCACCTCTCAAAGTAACTGTGCTGCACAAAAATGAGGTTGCCTGTCAGCATCTAGCTATGCAAATACTTGGATGGTATGTATAACAAAATGCTCAAGCAACATGTTAAAAGGGCCTATGTATTAAATCCGGAGAACATAAAATAACAACACAAACAGGTAGAGGAATGGTGTTTGTTTACAATTACGCCCAAAGTTCTCCGGAAATGTAAACAATTACATTTTATTACACTGTCTGTTTTTTTTTGTTTTTTTTTTCTTATGAAGTCTAAACTTATGTCGTTTTCGTTTTTGCTACACTACACCGGTGTAGTATAAGCAGCAATAAGTGCGAGTCATTGACAGCTCATCATCATTTGTTTGGTGCAACCGATAGCTACACCATGAATTTTTTCGGTGTTCAGCGGTGTGCACCGTAGCTACACCGCAAAAAGGAAAACGACATTACACTTGGACTCATTAAATTAAAAAAAATTACAATAATACCCGAGTTTGTCAGTCCTCTGAGACCCAATTCCTGCTGCCACATAGACATCGACTCCGCTCTACCCATTTTCCGAACTCCTCTGCACTCATTGTCTTTTATCAAGGTTAAGCAGATAGGGATCATTCAGGCGTTAACGCATACTGCTTCCGACAAGATGGTTCTGTAGGCGGTCACGACGCGCATGGCCATTAGGGTACTTATTTTTGAAAAAGTGTTTAAATGTCTTATAGGCCACCTCCACTTCAATTCATTACCCCAAAATATGAGCCTGTACAAAAAATGATAAAGATTGATGAAGTTTTAGAAGTCGCACAAATGGTTTGCAATTTATATGTCAGTTATTTGGTTCTACTAGTCCAAATGTTGTTGTCACAAACGATCAGTTTTTCAAGAAAGGTAGACATGCGAAAAAACAAAAAATAGGGTAGATTGACAGATGAAAATGTGTAAGGCAACAGCAGTGAAGAGTAGTGAAACTCAACAATTTCTCATAGTAATTCACCGAAATCTCCATATAAACTTCAAATCATTGTACAGTGGGCAAAAATTAACCCTGAGTCGCACTTATTTCGTGCCGCTGGTTTCAATAGGAGTGAGATACCTGGCCTTATGTAAAAAAAACAGGGAATCGAATGCCGCTGGTTTTGTCTTGCGTAGACTACCGGAAGTACCCCATTTTGCTCGTTTCTCCCATTTTCAATTGAAATTAAAATGTATGTGATTTTACATGCGACTGCCAGTCTACAGCCATAAAATGAAAAATAAAAATGAAAGTGGCAGTTGGCATTCGATTATTTTAAATAATAACAGATATCTCATACCTCTTTAAACCAGCGACAAGAAATAAGTGCGACGCTGGGTCAGTTTTCCGGAGAACTTCGAGATTAGGGCTTAATTGCTTTTGTTAACAAACACTACATGTGCCAATTTCTCTTGAATTGAAGGTAAATCTCATAAACAACACAAACAGGTAGAGGAATAGCTCTTCTGTCTTTTTTTTATTTTTTTTAAATAATTACATTATTTGTACCGGCTCAATCGAATAAACTTTACAAGCTCTTCTGTAAATTGATATAGTTTGTTCGCGAGATTTTTCTTTTATTCGCGAGAAATCGGCGATTAACGTGTTTGTTTACCAAAGCAATAACGCCCACATCTCACTGTGCATTGGCGCACCTTAATGGTCATGAGACGGTTCGTACTGTCAGTGTTAGAAATATCGCCAAAAGTTCATTTTCGCCAGCGAGATGTTTTCGCGATGCGAATTTCGCAAAGCGTTATTTCCCAAGCGAACTTTCTTGCTTGAGATTGAGAGGAACTAATATCACTCTCGATTTGACTCACCAGCGAAAAAGAGCATTTTTTTCCTTGATTTGATTTCCGTCGATCTTGTTTTCCGTACCAATGCTACCGACGCCAGGGAGGCAGCTCTCACACCTGGACCCTACCTATCGACTCATCAACAATATGCACCGGGGACCAACGGTTTTACTTCCCTGGATTGAACCCAGGCTTTTTGGGATGAGAGGCAATCACGCTTATCGCTACACGACCAGCGCCACAAGAGCGTATGTTAAAAGATATTTTTTATTCTAAATTCCTTACACAACTTTTCCTTCCCGATATGTGATAAAATAAACATTTTCTGAGCAACATGACATTGTGAGAGAATATATGACATATGAGATAAAGATTGCTGGACTGGTGGAGATCTTCAGAATAGTATACCTGATGACCCTGGAGTCTTGAACAAACAACCAGAGGACTCACCTGAAGATCTTTAAAAAAAATACTGGTCAACATGGCATTATGAGTGAATATCTAAGAAATGCTATTTAAAGTGATCATCTATTGGAGATATACAGAAAAATATCTTATTAGTCTGCAATAATTTCTTATTGCTAAGTATGATGAAAAAAATACCTGACAGATGTTATTTGGATTCCTGAACAAGCAATCTTCATAAAAATACCTGGTGAAACAGAAGTTTTGAACATACATCAAGAAGGCATAATGGAAATATTATTCAAATGATTATGTAGTCACTTCTTTCTAATTCGATTTTGAAGGAACTATGGAATTAGGGAGGTCAATTTGGGACATTTGTATGCCTGGATTTCCATCGAGAAATCGAGTAAAGTTTAATGTATTACTTAGGATGGTTAGGACACTCGGATCGAAACAAACTGCACGCGTATAGTTTGGTAGTTGGGATAAAACTGACAAGGTTTATTTACCCTTGGGGTTTATATAGGGCTTTCTAACAATACATGAGTATCTTACAATGCATACTATATTTACTCGTGTTGGTTCAGTACTTCTTGATCGTTTAACGAATCGATCGTTCAGTGGATTCAGGGACTAAGTCTTATAGACACGCTAAATATAATTGATTCAATCACTGCAATACCTTTCTCCTTAAGTTTAACATCCTTTTCAATCCTATTCAGATCTCAAATTCTTGAATTAATCGTTCTATATGTGATTGATTTTCTAACTCATCATGCTCAATATTCGAATTAAATTAAAATGATAGAATTTAAAAATACACGATATTTTTATCCTCTTTCTTCTCCTTTGCGCGAGTTGATCTTCTTACCATGGGCCGATCGTATTGATTAGTCGCAGCTATGCTTTGCATCGGTGGAGAATGTAGTGCATCTGGGTGGACTTCGCTTCTAGACGGTGGAGGTGCTTTGCCTTGAAACTGACTGAAGCACCACTTTGCGCACACTCTGAGTATCCAAATTTTTTTCATGATGAGATAGAAAAACTATTTTTACATGTAAATTTTCTCCAACATCTAAGGAAAAAACTGATTTTCTTGGATTTTTGATATTTTTTTCCAATGTTTTTAGCGAAAAAAAAACGTGCCGAAAATATTTTTTTTTATTTTCGGGACGGTAATCTTCCCCTTAAGTCCAGACCTATTTCAATTTTTTTTTAGGTAATATGCATGTTCCAAAACCAAAAATAAAAATTTATTTATTTTATTAAATTTTTTCGTAGCTGAAGATAAATCCACTGTGAATCTTCGGTTAAAAGTGTGAATGAAAATAACGAGAAAAATTAAATGGTTGTATTTTAAAATTCATTATTTTCTTTAAAATATCCTTAGAAGATTTTTTCAAATTCTTTGAGCCGTCCGGGTATTTTAAGGAAACAAAAAAATTCCTGAGGATTCCCGGTTTTCCAGATTTTTGAAGTTAGTAAACACCGTGACTAATACCGTGGGTTTGGTTATAAACTTTCTATTGAATCTTTCGCTTTAAAGGTTCATATCGTACATAACTGTTTATGAGATAATAATTGAATAAGTATAAAACATCAAACATTTATTTGACGCGCTTTCTCTTAAGTCACTGTTTAGTCACTATTTTTACAACCATAAGTCACTATTTGGTCACTTATTTATTCAACGTGGTCACTAAAATCACTATTTCTGACAGCAGTGATCGCTACCAGCCCTGATTGCTATAACTGGTGATGCCCATTCACATGCTCGTATTGGAGTTATTACTCCCTGGTTTTCTAACATGTCCAAATGCTCTATGAACTTGTATTTTATCTTGTAAGGAACCTGATAAGCTTTCTTAAAAATGGGTTGGTTCGCTTTGAATACCAAATCTGTTTCGAAGCCTACAATGGGTTCGGAAAAATCTTTAGTAAAAACATTACGATATTTTTGTTTTATTATACCAACTGTATCATCCAGATTTTTGTGAGCGTTCACATTTTTAACCGTTTCTGGGAATGGAAAAATTACTTTTCCAATCTGGATAAAACTTTCCCAACCAATCTATGATTTGTCCTAATATTGTTAATCTTGTCCCATTCACTACTGCCAGCTTTTTGCTGCATTCGGAGATAGAAATGGAACGGAATTGCTTTTTGTATAAAATTTCACTGATTACTGCCACTGCTGATCCAGTATCAATTTCCATTAGCAAGCTTTGATTTTCTACGCGAGCATTCACTAAACATGGATCAGTTACACTATTTACACATTCTATTTTCATACAGCTGATGTTTGATTCGTCACTGGAATCCTGTAAGCGTATTCTGTTAAAATGGAATCTTCCGTAATTATTTTTGGCTCTTCCACGAACTTATCCGAATTTCTGTTTAACAAACGGCAATGTTTACGAATGTGACCTTTACGTTTCCAATAATTACACACCGCATTGAAATGATTATTCTATCATCATTACTATCAATTAGCAGCGTAAATAATCCAAGCCCCAACGATTGTATACCAACCGTCTGACTCTCTTCAACAGCAACAGCAACAGCAAGCGGCAGGATACCAAAACCAGAGACGTTGATAGAGACGCGCAATGAAAATTTTTGTCGAAACCGCAGCACGGTTTTTGAGGGATCTTTTGACAATGTCACTGGCAACCATGTTTCTTCGAGTGGCTTCAAATGACTTTCATACAGTGCCGCAATGCTGTTGAGAAAATTTCAACGTTCGACCGGAACTGAATAAAAATGAAGTGCGCGGCAACATTTTACACAAATAAAGCGAAGGCGAGAGATGACAGTCGCTTCATGACGGTATAATTTTTGTCATATTTTACTGTTTTGCT